GGATGATATGCTAATGTCATTGATGCAAAGGAAGTATAACCACATTGTTAAAGTTCAACAATGTCTTGATGAGAAGGCTAAGGTTTTAACTAAACAAATGCATGATGGAGATTTAGTTATTTTTTACTCTGGTTTGATTTGGGATGTAACTTATAAAACTGCTGTTTGTGTTTGTATCTTCCTTATTATCTGTCAGTGCATTATGTTGTGCTGTATGTGTTCAATGGTGAAACATCAAATTGCAGATAGTTCAATGATCAATGTTGGAAGTTCCCATTGGCTGTGATGGTTCTTGATTACCCCTTCCAAACCCAAGAAATATTTTTCAAATTTAATAAATCAAATCTTTCAACAAAAGACCCTGTGATAATTTTGCTCAAGGGAAATAGACCTGTAATCAGTGTGCATGAGGTGTTGACCCAATGACTGGTAAAATTCTCCAGTGGCTAGAGGGGTACAACCTAAGGCAGGGCTTCACCGCCACTGGGCACCTACCTAGGAAGGGAGGTGTGATCTGTGTAACGGGAGTGGATGTGATGCTTCTTTTGGGTCAAGAGCATCAAAGGGGCGACTGTAAGAAACTATAGTCTTCCCTGACCCAGGTTTCACTCCAAGAGGTGTTTTAGAATATACTCCTTCCCTACGAAGAGCTTAATTATCATAGAGATAATTCTTCCTGATCTCCGTAATATGTAAATAGTACCTCCTGAATGATACTTTGTCATGTATAGCATGGGAGCGGCAGTGGGCCATCAAGAACCATCTTTGGGCCAAAAGGGTACAATTGCTAGGGATTTCAGATAATCCCATCACCTAAACTTTCGGTTGTTCCCACCTGAAAGAATACCAAAGATGCGGGAACAGAAGGCAATCGCTTCCATTGTTATCCGTAATTTACATTCAAGATGAAACTTAATTTACATGTCTAGTTGCAAGATGTATGTAAGACAGTATAAAAAGTTAGAGCAGAGATCATTCGGAATTCATTCTGACTCCGCTGAATCCGAAGTCCTGAATGTATTTTGTCACTGCTATACTGCAATAAACAACTTAATCGAGATCTTCAATGTCCTCATCATTTTTTCTTACAGGGCCCACTAGTGTGGGAATGACCCCGCTGAAACAAGGCGGTCGAGAACCAAAATTAATTCTGTAGCCTCTTTCTACAGTCTGCAGGACTCATTGTGAGACATTTGGCAGAAGTTTCCACGCTGCCAGAAAGTCTATTAAGGGAACCAGCCTCTCGTAGCTGGCCTCTGGTGTGACTAGAGGAGTCACTTAGGTGCCCTGAAGTGGATGACAGGCAGGGAATGACCGACCTGTCAGCTGTGAAGTTTCGCTCGTTGGAGCACACTAAGCCCTGAAGCACCAGTGGTGGCAGGGGTATCAGCGGAGCTGAGGACGCCAGTCCCTCGGGACTGGGGTCTATTGCAGCTATAGTGTTTAATTTGGTGTCGTGAAGCGGATGACCAGCAGGGAGCAACCGATTTATCCACTCTAGCTCCCTCACATGGGGGGACGAGCATTCTTGTGCCGCACCGTTGCCGGGCAGCTCGTTGGAGACCGCTGTGCCCTGAGGCACCAGAGGTGGCAGGGTTGACAGAACGGCCGCCTGAGGGCACTGTGGAGGATCGGGCACCATATACTGAGGTGTGTACCTCTCCTCCCCAGGGGAGTCTGCCCTCAAGGCCCTGATGCTTGTGGCGTCAGGACTGATTGTCCGAGGTCTTAGACAAAATAACGGTCTGCAGATCCACTTTCTGTCTGGAAGACCACGACCAAAAGCGTCGCTCCGACCCCTGTTCTTTCTGCGGGGGGGTACGGGTTGCAACGCTTTGTTTCTGGGTCCGGCATTATGAGGAGCTAGACGGCTGGAGCTGCTCCCGCTAAGCAGCCCCGTGGACCTGAGAATGGCGGGGGAGGAAGCGCTGGAATGCCGCCACTTGCTTGCTCGCCTCCTGAAACCTATCAACGACATTGTTTACTGTGTCACTAAAGAGGCCAGAGGGTGAGAGCAGGTCATCCAGGAGGAAGAATCTGTACTTATCTTGCATATCGGACAGATTCGACCACAGATGCCTCTCCGTGGGCAACAGTGCTGCCATTGAACAGCCGATGGCTCTGGACGTTTCCTTGGTGGCCCGGAGGGACAAATCTGTGGCCCAACGCAGTTCAGCAACCACGTCGGCTTCCTCCTTCTCCTCCAGGTCCTTGAGCAGGTCAGCCTGGTATACCTGCAACACTGCCATAGTGTGCAGACACGCACTGGCCTGACCTGCCACCGTATAAGCTTTCCCTACCAGACCAGATGTCAGTCTAACTGGCCTGGTGGGAAGCTTCGGGGCCTTCAGGGACGATGCTGAAGATGGGGAGAGATAGCTCACGAGTGTCTGCTCCACCACTGGCATCGCCCCATATCACTTCTCATTCAACCCTACAATATTGGAATAGTTCGTGACAGTGGGTCTGAAGAGACGGGATGAGTATGGTTTAAAAATGGAAGGCTCTAGCGTGAAGGCTGCGATCTAGCACACAAGAAACATTCGTCTAATTTACTCATGGGACGAACTTCCTGCTCCTCGGCGGGCCAGTAGATGTTTAACTTGGCTACAGCACAAGTCACAACCTCCACAAGCTCCTCATACGCGAGGGACTGTGGTGGTGAGTCCATAGTCTCCTCCATGTCGACGCTCATCGCATCAACCTCCTCAGAGGAAGATAGATGAAGCGTCTGTCTCTCTCAATCTGGGGGGAAGAAACTGCAGCACGTGCTTCCGAACCCTGAGAGGGAGCCGCGGATCTAGTAGGTGAGGACCGAGATAAGGACGAGCCACACTGTGACATATTATAACTTATCTAATAGAGTGTTTTCGACTGACTGATGCTTTGTAAACATTCACACACACACACACACCACAACGCGCTCACTGAAGAGCAGAAGCTAATATATGCTTTGCCGGATGCGATTTTATGCTTCCTGGTTACTCACGTCACCCCGCTCGTGACGTCTCGCTTCTCTATTGGATTCCACACGTACTTCAGATCGTGGTCATGCAGAGGCGTTCCCACTCTTCATCATCTCGTTCTTCTAATGTACACATATCCCTCTCCTCTTCACTTAAATCCGAGTTACAACTTGTACCTAGTATACTAGCCTTCCTTTTCTTCTTCTGATTTTCATTTTTACTGCCTACCTGTTTTCCCTTCCCACCTTTCTCCTTATCTTGTCCTCTTCCATCTCCTTCTTCCATCTCCGGTCCAGTCACGGTACAGCCGTGTCAAACCGCCGTCTATCAATCCAATGAAGTGAAATCTCGGCTCTTGGACACCCAGCTCCCGCTTGGTGACGCGACCTCGAGGAAGTTGCGTAGAGCTCGAGCCTTCTGGCCATATCCTCACAAAAAGCTCGCCAATTTCATTGGCCTTTTCTCAATGATGTCAGAGGTGTCTAGGCCCCCAAGTGCGACCCCTAGTGTCTGAACTTCGACACAATGTCAAAGTGACTGACTGAAATGGAACAAAGGGTGTTTTATAAAGCCTGTTTCACAATAAGTTAAGGCTGTATAAATATTAATCAACTTCAATATCTGTCAGATCTAGCATGTGACTGTAAGGCATACAGATAATACTAAACATACAAAACACCTACACTGTAAATATGTGAAAAACTGGAAGCAGTGGTTGCCAGAATGTACAGTGACGGTGGTGATGATATACCAGGCATTATGGAAGGTGTTTTGGTGGCTGTATACAGTATTTTATTTATAGTCCCTAACTGTACTAAATGTTAGATACCAATCTGAGCTTTTTTTAAATTTGTTTGTTACAATAAATGTACTGATATTACACAAGTGGTACAATAGACGGTAACATGATGATTATGTTTTTGGTCTCTCCATGTGTCCACAGAGTTACAAAACCACCATCAGAGTGAAACACATGACAATTAATTAATTCTGTATATGTGACATAAACAACATAAAATTAATAGAAAATATTCCAATATAGATATATAAAAAAAAAAGATGCTAAATGAAATATAGACAAATGTGGCAGTTCTCATTGGGAATCCTGGTAATACTAATAAAGGGAATAAATGAATGCTCTATAAATTATTATAGATTAATACTTAATAAGTGATCAGAATTTTAGTGGGTTACACTTTATTTCAACAGTCCACTTTAGACATTCTATTAACTATAAGTAACTTTGTAACTACATGTCAACAGGCCTGTTTCAGGGGAAGTCGTGGCCTAATGGTTAGAGAGTCGGACTCGTAACCCAAAAGGTTGCAGGTTCGCGCCACATGTCTTGTAATTTTTTTTTTTTTATAACTAATTCTCATTAATTTGCAACTAGATGTCTACTAACTCTCAGAGTAGACTGTTAGGGTAGGTTTAGGGTTAGTAGAATAAGTTGACAAAGAAAGTATTAGAAGATATTAAGCAGACAGTCTACTAATACTCTACAAACTGCTAGTTGACATGTAGTTGCAAAGTTACTTACTGTTAATAGAATGTCTAAAGTGGACTATCGAAATAAAGTGTTACCTTTTAGTGTAGTGTACATTAACTTTACATACATACATTATTTTAAAATACCATAATACATGTATAGTATATGTATAATTAGTTTACTGTAATATTAATAAAGCAAAATAAAGCAATTTTCTGTAAATATTGTTAACATTTTCTACATAATTAGCTCTTTTTTAAATACTCTAAACTAGACTATACTATAAATTCTTAGATTTTTTTCTTCCAAATTATAATTTTAATGTGAAAATATTTGCACTAACTCCTAAGAAATTTTCCAGACAGTTCCTATAAAAGTAGGAAGTGTTTGCTCAACATCACATTGTTTACACAGATGTCTTAACTTTCAAAATATGTTTAAGGAAACATTTGCAGGCCGATGCTTATCTGATTGAATTACCAGAAAACAGACCATATAAATATGGATCAGCTAGTCAAAAGCTACATGTACACTTTTTACAGCAACAGCAGAACCATGTTCTCTCTCAGTGTCCTCCTGCTTACCTGTAAGTTTCTTTCATCTAATTAAATTGAAAAATCAGATGCACGGTGAACACTAATGTATAGTTGCACTTTTAGACATTTGAACAGCTCTGTTCTAGGTTAAATTTAGGGTTGAGAATAGTGTGAATTCTTTAAGCTAATCTTAATGCTTTAAGATTAGCATTGCACAGGGATTTTAATAATTTATCTTCTGTTGTTTTCTTACAGTGGTGCTTCTGAACTCCAGATTGCTGATATCTGCAGGTATTTATTTCATTTATCCTTGAACCACATCAACAATCAACAGTTAAACAAAGATTACTTGACTGAGAAGTCCAGATTTAAATGTCACAGCTGTTTTTTGTGTGAGTGGGTTGTGGTGTGAATATGTCACTATATGTTTGTTAAATTAATATTATTAACATTATTAGGTTAGTTCATGTTATAAAATGTCATTTGGCACGACTCCCCAAAAACATAATACTTATGAATGAATAATTCATGATATTTGTAATATGAAATACATAAAACCAACATAAAAGTACATTTCTAAGAACTTTGCACATAAGTTTTGAACTATAGTTTTTTCTCAATATTGGAGAGTCTTATATGTAATTGACCCATTTACTTTAAAGGGGTCATATGATGCGATTTCAATTTTTCCTTTCTCTTTGGAGTGTTACAAGCTCTTGGTGCATAAAGAAGATCTGTAAAGTTGCAAAAACTAAAGTCTCAAATCCAAAGAGATATTCTTTATAAAAGTTAAGAGTCAGCCACACCTACCTAAAACGGCTCGTTCTAACACGCCCCCACATGTCTACGTCACGATGTGGGAAGATTTGCATAACGCTGCCCAAATATTCACGCAAAGAAAGAAGGCGTAACTTTTATTCTCACTGTAGTATTGTTGCCGCCATGTCATGAAGACGCTGTGTTTCGTTGTGAAAGCGAAACTACTCTCTTTTTAGCAACATCATATGACCCCTTTAAGATGAGTTTAATTAAGCATTTGGAAAAAAACAATGGTGCTTTATAAAGCCTGTTTTACAATATAATTGAAAGATCAGACAACAGAATGTATACGTACAAACATTGTAAAAAATAAACACAAAAAAACACCAGAATCCAGTGGTTGCCAGAATGTTCTTCTTCTTAGTATTATTATTTATTTTTATTATTATTATTATTTAGTATTTTTCTAATGTAGTATCTGGAGTTTATTGTTCTCTCCCTATTCTATAGTTTATCAATCTCACCTTGTTACAAATGACTCTTTAATTTTTTAGAGACTGTAGTTACATGTGATGGGTTTGTCCAGCGTCTCAGTTGTGGTAAGATGTATCACAATAATCTAAAGATATTTATTATGTTTTCTATTGTTATTGTTGTTGTTTTAACAGTAATTCATTATGTATTGATGTTTTTCTTCTGTTCAGATACTGGGGTGATCAGTGTACAATCAGCAACCTATGGCCGCACAAGCAGCCAAATTTGCAGCATTGGACGACCACCATCTGAGACATCTAATACTCAGTGTTCAATAGATGTCACTGCGGTCTTCAAACGGTAAGATATTTTTCATTGTCTTTTTGCTTGTGACTACAGACAGAAAAATTATGGGTAGAATTATGACTCTGTTGCTTACTCTGTGGTTAGCTTACTTATTAGTATATATTGCATTATATTATTTATGTCTTTATCCTTAAACAGGTGTAATGGACTGAGAGAGTGTGAGTCTCAAGGACTGGCACTAAAAGATCCATGTTTTGGCACCTACAAGTACTACACTACCAACTACATTTGCATCCCAGCAGGTTTGGACTTTTTCTATCTCTTCCTCCAATTCCAGTTCTTTATAATTTCCTTCTCTGTGTAAATGTTTTCTGTCCATCTTCCAGAAACAAGTGTGACTTGTCACGGTGGATACAGTTATTTGAAATGTGGTGAGTGATTTTTCCACATCTCTCACATTGTTTCAAGAAATGGAGTCACGTGGATTACTTTAAGGACTACAGTTTTTTTTATCTCCATGTAGAAAATGGTAAGATTCAGATAAATACTGCAAACTATGGACGTACAGATAAAACCACCTGCTCTGAAGGACGTCCATCCAAACAGCTCCAAAACACCAACTGCTATTCACCCAATGCACTGGCTCCTGTGTCCAAAAGGTAGGTAAGTAGGTAGGTAGGTAAATAGATAGATAGATAGATAGATAGATAGATAGATAGATATATAGATAGATTGATTGATTGATTGATTGACTCACTGATTGATTGATTGAAATTTCATGATCTTCTTTCAGTGCCAGCTAACAGGGAACGTTCTGGCATGGTTCTCTCAAAGTTAACGAACATTCTTCCAGTAATGTTAATAGAATGTTTGTTCAAAGTTTAATCTTTAATAACATTCTCAAAGCATCAGCACAGATATGTTATTTATTAAATTTTCATGGATCGTTTTTTATGAGTGTTAGTTGGATGTTAGTCTAACTTTTTTAAACATTTCTATTTATTACTTGTTTAAAGAACATTGAAAATTAACATTCCCATGATAAAATTTCAAATGTTCTCCTAATGTTTTCTTTCATGTTTGCATACCAAAGAAACGTTTCAAAACATTTAGAGAGCATTCAGAAATAATGCTTAATGGCAGTGGTGGACAGTAACGAAGTAGTTTTACTTCGTTACTGTACTTAAGTACATTTTTCAAGTATCTGTACTTTACTGGAGTAGTTTTATTTTGAGTAACTTTTACTTTTACGTGAACTGAATTCACAAGAAAGAACCGGGAGATCTTGTGAGCGCAGGCGCGACTGATGCTGCTAAAAGTAAGTAACTAATGTTGAACTCTAGGATTAATTATTGTAACTGAAAATTATATTTAGGTCAAAACTGTCAGTTGTTTGTGAACTAAATCTGCTGTAAAGGGTGATCTATTTAAGCCAAATGAAATGCTTGAATGCAGACACATCAACATCAGTGTCTCTATGTATTAGGTAAAAAAAAATGAAACATTAAAATAACACAGATTAAAATAACTCATGCACGTTCATTAAGTAAATATTGTTAGCTGATGCTAACTGTCTAGCTAACAAGTTTGCTGGTGCTACGTGGAGGTAATTTTTAGATATAAAGTCCAAATATTTTGATTCAACCACCTAGATAGATTAGATCTGGGGGAAAATAAATTATGTCATGTTCAGAACATGGTAACTACAGTAATTATCAAAGTGGGAAGTGATGCCCTCAGGGGGCATTTGGCCAGGGGTGTTTTTACACCACAGACAAGGTTTGAAAAGAAAAAAAATCATTATGAAAAACTAAATATCCAAGTGGGAAGTGATGCCCTCTGGGGGCATTTGGCCAGGGGTGTTTTTACACCACAGACAAGGTTTGAGAAGAAAAAAATCATTATGAAAATATAATTATATTTTCCTTAAAATGTTCTTCCTAACTTCAGGCCTTATTCTCATGTCATTTATAACTGTGATGTTCTGCAAAACAACAAGTTTTAAAACACTTTTTTCTTACTGGTGACAATCAGATGATCAGATCTGTTTTCTCTCAGGTACATCGCAGTGTAAGCTTCACAGTGAACATTACTAAATCACTCTCGTCAACGTAGTCCATATCAACAACAAAAATATATCTTGACTCCATATAGTGGTTATTTTGGGAAAATCCCAGGTATTTTGAGCAGTAGGATTATAAAAAATATGTGCTAATATAAAATTAAATTAAGTAGCCTATATAAAATTGCAAAATAAATCTATCTATCAGTACTTTTTTACTTAAGTACATAAAATATCGAGTACTTTTGTACTTTCACTCAAGTAAAATTGAAAAAATGAGTACTTTTACTTGAGTAATATTTTATTATACGTATCTGTACTTTTACTCAAGTACTTGATTTGTGTACTTCGTCCACCACTGCTTAATGGTAATGTCAGGAAAATGTTTTTAGAACATATTTTTGTTAGCTGGGATAAAGATGCAATGACTAACGTAAACCTTACTTTTTTGACATATGAAGCTGCAATGGCCTGGAAAGTTGTGAGGTGTTTGCGACACATACAGTCTTTACTGATCCCTGCTTTGGCATATACAAGTACCTCGCAATCTCTTATTTTTGCCTCCCACCTGGAGTTCGTGAGTATTTATTTTGCCGTTTGCTACTCAATTCATTCAATTTTTTTTCAAGGTCATGTGTTTAGAATATTGTGATTTAAGAGACTTTTGTAACAAGAGCCTGATTTAGTACGGCATATTAATCAAAGTTTAAATGAAACATTATTTCTTCCCTGCATGCCACAGTTCAGCATATTTTTTTTAAAGTATTTATTATGGATATTATATACTTTAATAGAATATACTATTAACTTAATGGGATTTTTTACATTTAATTGCATGCTAATTACAATTAAGTGAAAATGTATTATAGTTTAGATTTATATTAGATTCAATTAGCTGGATTTATGAGTCTTGTATTTTATGACCCACTTAAGTACATCAATGTATATGTAATTGAATAATTGCTTCTGATATCGGAAATATGATTAAAGTGAAATGCACTTTAAAGTAAAACAATTTATTAATTTGACATTACAAAGTGCACTTTTTAAAAGTTTAGTCTACTTGTGTTAAGAAAGAGTCATGAGAGTGTTAAGTGGCCTTTTATTTCATTAATATTATATTATCTGCAAATACAGTTTTTTAAATACACACATACACTACAAGTGCACATTCATTACTAAGTGCACTTCTTTTTCACAAGGCAAAGCACATAAATAAACCAGTCCCCATCTTAATATTTAAAAGTCATGATCACGGTACACACTGCACACACCATTACTTGCTAAGCCTATTTTACATTTATTTTATATTTAAATTTTTTAATTGCTTTACAACATCTCTTTGTTTACTGTAGGTTCAAGTTTGGTCTGTGAACATGAGACAAGTGCTCTGAACTGTGGTGGGTATTCTGTTCTTACTTAAATGTTGCTTATTTTTAAGGTTTCAATTAATAAGGCATTATAAAGTTTATGACAGAATGGTAAATATTTTCAGATGATGGGACTGTCATACGCATTCACAGCGCTAACTACGGCCGAACTGACAGCAGCACATGCTCTACTGGACGACCTGCTTCTCAGCTTGCCAAAACTGACTGCTACGCCTTAAATTCACAGACAGTAGTCACTAGTGGGTCAGTTTATGTACAAATTTTCACTTGTAATTCAGTCTTTGCCCTGCAAAAAAACAACAACAACACAAACCAGATATGACCAGCTAAGATTTGTGTAGTTTAAGCATTTTCTCCCAGCAGGGTAATAAAATTACTTTTTAATGAAGTGTTTTTTCATTAATTCATATTTTATCATTGTGTAGATGTGAAGGGAAAAAGAGCTGCTCCATATTGGCCTCCAACAGTGTCTTCTCGGATCCATGTGTCGGCACATTCAAGTACCTGTACATCTCATACTCCTGCGTGTCTAAGTGTAAGTGTGACTATACAGAGCAATGATACTGCATATGTGTGCTAGTTTTCTAATGTGTTGATCAGTTTTGGTTTGGTTTTGCTCATGAACTCACTCAGGCTAGACTGATAATAGCTCATTACTGTTGATGTTTGTGTTTGCAGAAAAAAACAGCTGATCTTATGGATTTGGCCTCTTCAATTCTCTATCAGCCTTTTAATCTATTTTCTATTTCTTAATTGTTATTGCATCTAATAGTATATGACATTTGCCGTCTTTCCTCTTGTAAAGATATGGCAGAAGTAGTAATGGTAGAATACTATGCTAATCTGAAAGTCTTTGTGTGCGGATGAAATCAGTGGCTGAGACTTTTGTGTGAAGTTTTGATTCTCATACGATTAATATTTCTATGGACCTTGCTTATGTTGTGGGATTTTTCTTAGAATAAATGCTTTGCGAATGAGAATGAGGTGTGTGCGTCTTCTTCTTAATACATGTTGATTGTAAACACCAGCTTTACCTTATCATTTACCAAGTGATAGGAGAATATAGAAAGACTACACATTGCTTATTTACTACCAACACTGTAACAATACAAAGCTGGTTATCCTTATCTTTTAACATATGAAGTGCAAATCATTGCCCAAACCAACCTATTGACTAAGAAAAACTAAATGCTTATTTAAGGGGATTACAGTTAAAGCCCAGAGACCAGTAAGAGAGAATCCCGGACACCTTATGTCATCAAATTTGATTGATGACCGTCATAAAAATTCCACCCCCCACCCCTCCCTCCCACCATAACTGGACACCTATTTGGACACCTGTTCATACACCCCCCATGTGTCTAACTGGACATCTGTTTATCCACCAGCGATCCAGAGGAATTTATGATCCTGTACTCTTATTGTTTGGGAATGTGTTTTTGTGTGGGGCCGTTGAAAACTGTTCAAAACTATGTACTTTAAACTTTTAAAACAGTGTATCGGTTGGTAAACGGGTTCAAGGGAAGTTTTTATTAAAGTTTTTTCACACACATTTTAAGAAAAAACATCAAACATACAGGGAATAGAAACAATGTAATGACTGATTTTTCCAGAAAACAGTAAAAAATGTCAAGACAAGTATTTAAGTGTTGTTAAACAATTTTAGGAAAAGGTTGAAATATCTAAAACAAAAAGTACCAGATATGTTCGTTAAACAACACGGCAGTTTTTTATGTTGCACTTTTAAAAAGCTAATGTTTGTTACAAGTTAGAAACGAAAATTAAAAAGAGCTGACCATCTTACCATGATCTAAAACAAAAAAGTAGGCTACCAGATACGTTCGTTAAGCAACAGCATAAGATACTTGTCAAAATCTATGTTGTAGTCTACCATTACAATTTTAGGAAAGCTAGCGTTTGATACTAATACGAGTTAGAAAAGAAAAGAAAAGAAAAGAAAAGAAAAAAAAGAAAAGAAAAAGAGTTGAGCGTCGTTGATCTAAAACAAAAAAAGTATCAGACGTGATCGTTAAACAACAGCATAAGATACTTGTCAAAATCTATGTTGTAGTCTAGCATTACAATTTTGAAAAGGTGGAGTGTATTACTGACAAAACTCTTGCCTTGTCCAAATACCCACACTTGCGGTCTTGGCCCCTTGAGAGCGCGTGCGCGCGACAGGAAGTAAGTGCGCAAGACTGTCCCAGGTCTTAAAAACGGCAAAGCACAGTGCCCTTAAAGCCGGGCTCACACTACAGGATTTTTGGCTGGATTTTGCTGTCGCAGACAGATTTCCACAGTCTGCGACAAAACCCCCGGATCGTGACCAAATCGGTGCTCGTTGCAGTCGCCGAAGCTCGTTTAGTATGAGCAGGTCAGCAACTTGATCCGAACCTGTCTCGAGCTATCACAGACGCTACGATATTTTCAAACCTGTTTGATATTATCGCCAGGTGATCTCGTAATGTGAGTGACACAATGACAAGGTGGAACTAATCTAGCCAATATAAACACTCTTTTATCATGCATCCTTATGAACAGACACGAAAAGCCACAAATTAATCAAATCAACTAACTAGAAATAAATGTAACAAATTCATAGATTGTGTATATAATACAACGTTTCATTTTACTGTTTAATTGCCTCCAACTCTTTCTGCAGTATTGACAGTCCTTGTTGTCCAAGTCTTCCAAGCCATTGTTTCTGCCATATTCTCTTTTGTCGTGGTTTATTCTTTCTTTTGGATAAAATAATTGCACAGACCAATTGAAGGGCCAGTTGATCGTCCATGCTTGAAGATATGGCCTATAATCGCTGTAATTTCTCGCGAGAATTTATGTGAGAAAACGTATTTTCGCTGATGGTCGGGAACGCCTCTTCACTGAATGTTTTGTAGTGTG